CCATGCTCCACGCGATGCGGGGGATCCCGCGGGGGTGGAAGCCGTGCAGGCGGACGGCGAACGGCACCTGGTCCGGGGGGTCCCAGCGCGGCAACACCTGGATCCCGGACACGTCCGGCGGGGCTGGGGACAGAGGAGCTAGGAGCGGTGCACGGGGACCCCCGTCCCCTCGGGTGCAGACCGGGCAGGGGGCTCCTCGCGCCCGGCCCCTCTGTCCAGGCCTGCATCGTGTGGGGTGAAGCCGGGGAGGCTGCTCGTGGCCAGCACCCATCCCCGGCCGGGGCGTCTCGGTGCTTGGAGGCGCTGGGACAGCCCGGGCCTGGCTCAGCCCGTTGCTGGCAGGGCAGTGCAGTAGAGGGGGGCACCTCGGTACCGGGCTGTCGCCCCCTGACCCCACGTCGTGACACCCCCACCCAAGCCACGCGCAGAACGAGCGCTGCGCTCACCTCGCACCTGCAGCTCCGCGCTGCGCTTTGCTACGGGCTGCACCAGGGCCACGTGCTCCACGCGGCAGGTGTACTCGGCCCCGTGGTCCCTGCGCACCGAGGGGGTGAAGACAAGTCCGGCCTCCTGCACGAAGCGCTTCCCGTCCGCGGCTGGAGCGGGCTGGCCAGGGAGGAGGCGGTGCCCGGCCGAGTCCTGCCGGGGCCGCAGCATGCGCCGCTCCTCTGTCCCTGCGCAGCCAGGTCCCCCCCAGCAACTCAGGGAAACGGCCTGTGATGCGGCACCTCAGGGTCACGGCCCTCCCCGCGGTCACTGACTGGGGCCAGGAGATCGCCGACACGTCCGGGGGCCGCAGGAGACCTGGGGAAGGAAACACCACGAGGCAGGGACAGGCCGCGTCAGGGGGAGCCGAGGCCTCGTGGAGTCTGCTCTGGCTCCCATCAGGAGGGGCCATGACCTCCCCTCAGGTAGGCGAGAGAGTCAAACCCCGCTCCCCAACATGCGGCCGTGACCCCATGCATCCCCCTCCTCACTGGTGTCCCCGATGCTGAGCTCTCCCTCGATCGGGGGGTCGGCGGGGCCGTGCTGCACACACACTCTCACTCGCTGCTCGGGGCGGGCCAGGCGCCGGCTGGGCCCCCTCCACACGCTCGTGGCGCTGAACGTGCCGTCTTTGTTCTCCGCGTAGTCGCTCGGCTCCGACCGCTCCCAGGCTTCCCCGTCCATGCTCCACGCGATGCGGTGGATCCCGCGGGGGTAGAAGCCGTGCAGGTGGACAGCAAAGGGCACCTGGTCCGGGGGGTCCCAGCGCGGCAACACCTGGATCCCGGACAGCTCCGGCGGGGCTGGGGGCAGTTTGCGTGTCAGGGTGAAGGCAGACAGGTGTGCACCTCTACAGACTCACTGAACACGAGGCTCAGGAGAGCGGTGTCGGGCCCGCAGAGACTCCCCATGCCTCAAGAAGGGAGATTGAACCCAGAAGCTTGCTAACAACTTCTTTCCAAGTACTCAGTTGCTCTAATAAAAGATATCGCATGTGCTGTAAGAACCTGGCCTGCCTCTGTCCTGAGACCAATGCGGCTACAGCCACAGACCCAGTAACTAAACACCATGTACTTATGGCTTTCATGACCCCAGCGCTCTTCATCACGTGCCGTGGAAGGACACGTGGCCAGGAGGCCGGGACGCGAGTCTGAGCAGGGCTGGGCAGTGGAGGGAGTCCCCATGTGCGGTCCCAGGGGGATCCCTGCCAGGCCGGTCCTGGCACGGCCGGTCCCAGCAGGCAGCAGCGTCCCAGTGCGGGGCCAGGGGAGGGGAAAGTGCTGCTCAGACACCGCCCAAGCTCAGACCACCACCTCCGGGGGGCTCCTCTGGCCAAACGCTCCCCGGTCTCAGGTCATCCTGGCCCTGATTTCCCGTCACGCTCTCCAGCATGTCCACTTCTTACACGAAACGCGCTCCTCGCTCAGCCGCTGCCCCCGACTCTCCCCGCCCGGGGCCCTGCCAGGACTCACCCCACACCCGGATCTCCCAGCGCTCGGGCTCCTCGCCGCTGTCTCGGGCCTCGGGCTGGAGGAGACAGCGCACGCGCGCCCCGTGGTCCTGCACCGTGGGGGTGAAGGTCAGGGAGGCCGTGAGGCCGGTCTTGGACCTCTCCTGGGTCGACGTCCAGCCCGGGAACTGGCCCGGGAAGAGCCGGGACGGGGCCGGGAAGGCCGGCTGGTGCTCAGGGGCCGCCCCGGGCCCGTCCTTCTGGATCAGCGTCCTGTCCTCGCCCTGCGTCCGCTCCCACGTCACCGCCGTGTGCGCACGGATCTTCCCCTCCACGGAGCAGCGCAGAGTCACCGCCTGGCCCAGCCGGCACCGCTCCGGCCCCTCCACCTTGGACACGGAGCAAGCGGCTTTCCCGCCTGGGGTGGGAGCAACACACGGGACACAGGGTCAGCTTGGGACGGTCCTGGAGACACGTCCGGCCTGCGCTGGGGCTGCGGGGTGTGGGTCCCCGAGAGCAGGAGGGTAAAGCCTGCCCTGCTCCAGGGGCCCGTCTGTGCCCCTGCCTGAGACCCTGTCGCCGTCCCCCCTCCCCTCTGCTCCCCCTGGCGCCGTGCCCGTACCTCTCCTCTGCCACCAGCAGTAACCGGATGCGCCCACAGCTCCTAGTGCTAGCACGATGGCCACGACGGCCCCAATCGCAGCTCCGGTGCGGTCTGAGCCTGCAGCAGGGATGGGGCGGGGCGGGATGGGATGGGAGGGAAAGTTGGCGCACAGCCTTGCTCCAGCGGTCGCCCCGTAGCACTGTCTGGCCTCGCTGCCGGGCTGTTTTGGACACTCACCTGGGACTTCCAAGGCGAACTCCTCAACCAGGGGCTGCCCCAGTGCCGGGTGTCGGACACGGCAGGCGAAGATGGCGCCAGCGTCGCTCCGGACCGGGGTGAAGGTGTAGGTCAGGGTGAGGCTGAAGGTCCCGTCCCAGTTCCTCTGGGGGCTGGAGCGGGTGGAGCCGTCCAGGACCTGCTCATCTCTCAGCAACGTGGCCTCCATGTCCTCGGGGAAGAAGCCACCCACGTGGCACAGGAGGGACGTCTCTGCGCCGCCCATGCGCTGGTCCAGGGAGATCCTCGGGGCTGCTGCAGGGGCCGGAGCCCGTGAGGGGAGCACCACCAGCCCCCAATTCCCAGAGCCGTCCCATACCACACGCCCACACCCACTGTCGCCCTGGCCATAGACCAGTGCCCAGGCCCGGGTCCCAAGGGTCCTTACCAAGCACCCAGAGGGTCGTCTTGCCCATCTGCGTCTCTGTGCCGTATGCCACCTCGCAGGTGTAGGTCCCGTTGTCCTGCACCGCCACATCCTGCACCTCCAGGGAGGCGTTCCCGATCTGCAGCTCCTGCTCGGACAGGCGCAGCCGTGGCTCGAAGGTCCCCTGGCCCTGGTCATACTGCGCCACGGGGCCCGCGGCGGCAGAGAGCCAGCGCACCCGCAGCACTGCTGGGTCAATGGGCCTGCCCACGTTGAAGCGGCACTTGAGGAGCGCCACCGAGCCCAGCGCCGCCCGGGTCTCCGGCGCCGTGTACAGCGTCAGCATGGCCCCTGCCAAGGAGAGCACACGCGGCATGGGGGCGGCGTGGCCCAGGGCTCCCAGCACCGTGCCCCACCGGGCACAGCAGTCAGGCAGGCCCCGCGCTACACGCGAAGGAAGGGGGCCAAAAGCACAGGCCACGAGCACAGCCCCGCAGGACCCACCGCCCTCCACCAGCGCCGGTGCTGAGCATGGTGTGGGCCTGCCCACAGCCGGGCCCACAGCTCCCTCTGACCACAGCGCCCACTGCCGGGACAGCGCCTGGGCTCTCAGGCCCACAGCCACACCCAGAGCCCTGCCTGGTCTGGGAGCCTCGGGGTGCCCCACACTTACCCGCTGCCCCCAGGAAGAGGGGGTGGAGCAGGGGCAGGAGGAGGGGAGCCCCCAGCCCCATGGACCCGCCGCCTGCGTGGCTCTGCTGCACCCCGCTTCCCGTGTCCGGGCTCTTCCAGGCCGGGAACCAACAGGTTTTACTTTCGCTTTCCCCGACATCCAAAGGGCAGAGCGGGAATTGCTGCACCTCGACACGGCCACCTCCTGCGGGAGCGGCGGGGCCAGGCCCCCGGCCCTCCTGTCGGCCCCAGAGCCGGCCGCCGCGGCCCCGCTACACCCGCCTTCTGCCGCGCCCAGCCAGGGCTGCCCACACCCCCCCCCAG